CAGATGCCAGCCGCAAACAGGATTCTCAGGCTACCTGCACTTCTTCCAGGCTCACCGCTAATTCGTGGGTTCTGGTGACTCCCCCTCAGGGTCAGTAATTTGGTAGAACTACTCACAGAGCTCGGGACAGCACTATACTTACAATCACAGTTTTATTCTAAAGGTTACAACTCAGAATAGCTATATGGAAGCATTGCATAGGACAGGGTATGGGGGTGGGGACACACAGCTTCCCTGCCTTCTCCAGCATGCGACCATCCCAGCACATCACGCGTTCGCCAACCCAGACTCTCTCCCAGACCTCACTGTTCTGAGTTTTTTATTGAGGTTTCATTGTGTAGGCATGATTAACTAAAACATGGGCTATTGGTGATTGAATTCAATCTGCAGCCTCTCTCCCCTCCCAGAGGTTGGGGGTGGGACTGAAGGTTCTAACCCTCTAATCACATGGCTGGGTGATGAGCCCAGCTCCCATCCTTCTAGGGCTCTCCACCCCCACCCAGACTGCCAGTCATCCGCATCTCATTATGAAAGGGACTTGTTATATTCATAATCAAAACACACTCCTATCACTCAAGAAATTACATGGCTTTTAGGAGGTCTGTGCCAGGAACTGGAGACAAAGATGGAAAACATTTTTTATTATACCACTGACGTTTTTAGTGTATCTCACCAGGAGGCACATTGTGTAAGTTTTCTCCAATATCGATGATTAAATTTGATAACTTGGTTAAAATGGTATCCACCAGATTTCTCCAATATGAAGGTACAATTTTCCCCATTGCAATGAGTAAGTATTATATGGGGAGACACTTTCGAGACTGTAAATATTCTGTTCTTCAGTAACCTATACTTACTAGTGTTAGTACCCAGTGATTTTCTACCTCTATCGTACCTTCTATATTTATTAATATTAGATGGCATTCTAATGTTAGGAAGAGTTTGATTTCTCCTTTATTTATTCATTCACTTATTTATATCAGCAGGGCCTCATGGATTTTTATTTTATTTAGTGAATTATGATCTCTCATTATCTTTGTATCAAATTTGCTGACTCCTGTGTCTTTTTGGTGTGTCCACATTATTTTTGGGTGTTTTCTCGCTTTCTGGCTTATCAAAATGTTTGAAGCTTATCTTTTACTTTCCCTGCCCTAGCCCTCGAAAAATTCTTTTTTCCAAGGATTCCAGGTTTCTTTTAGTGGAGGAAACGGTATTTAGAAAACAACATAGAGGCAGTAGATGTGCTCATTGCTGCTGGTTATGTATGTAAGTAGACAGAGCTGGGAAAAAAAATATATAAATATAGACACACCTATATTTTATTGATTTCCGTATCTACTTACTATATTAAAAAACAGTGATTCATACTGATACTTCCAATTTCAGTCAAACTCCTCAAGGTGCATTATTTTTCTTCCTCTTTTCTCTATTGGATATTTCCTTTTCCAAAAATGAAGAGCCAGGCTTCTTTATTCTGTATGTGTTTATTCATATGGGCAAGCTGACTTCCTAGCTCTTTACTCTGTAGATTTCAGTATGTTTCCTTTAGTACCACTTATAGTACATATAGTGGTGACAAATGCTCTCTGTTTTAATTTATCTGAAAATGCCCTTATTTTTCCTATGTTCTTGAAGGATATTTTCACTGGCTAGACAATTCTCAGTTGATAGTAGTGATAGTAGTTTTTCTTTTTTTCAACATTTTAAAAGAGTTTTCTCATTTTTTTCTGGTCTTCATTTTTCTCAAGAGAAGTCAGCCACCGTTTGTATCATTTTCAACTTATACGCTTAATCTAATGTATTATTTCCTGTATATGGTTAAGGTTTGCATCAACTATGGGAAATTTTGGGTAATATATCTTTAAGTATTTTTGGCTCCATTCTCTTTGTCCTAGAAAACACCAAGACTCTGCTAACTTTTTATAGTTTTTGTCCTCTTAGTCCTCCTGAATGGATACTTTCTGTTGATCTATCTTCAAGTTCACTGACCCTTTATTTTGCTGTTTCCAATCTGCTGTTAAACCCATCAATAAAGTTTGCATTTTACACATTGTACTTTTCTGTTCTAGAATTTCTGTTTGGCTGTTTTAATAGTTTTACCTTTCTTTACGGAGATTCCCGTCTGTTCCTTATTACTATATGTTTTCCTTTAAGTCCTTAAATACATTTCACATAGCTGCATTAAAGTTCTTGTCTGTTAATCCCAACATCTGAATCATCTTGGGGTTATTTTTTTATTGAATACTTTTTCTCTTCATTATGGCTTGCATTTTCCTGTTTCTTCACATGTATAGTAGTTTTTGGTTGTATGTTGGACATCGTATGTTTCACTGCTGAGCATTTGGATTATATCCTCTCCTTTTAAAATAGGGATGAGATTTGTTCTGGCAGGCAGTAAACTCACAGGAAGATCCTTTTGATCCTGTCAGGCTTGGTCTTATTATTTGTTAGAATGCATCTATTCTAGTTTTGATTTCAGTCTTAGGGAGTACCCCACAACTATAGGTATAGTCCTTACTCCTAAGGAATGGCCTTTCTCTGTCTCAAATGCCTGAGCTGCGTAGTGAACTCTCTGCTCTGGCGAGGCTGGAACACTGTTGTCTCCAAACCCTTCTCTGACTGGTATCACCATTCAGTTTCCAACCTTTAGCAGGTAATTTTTGCTAGTCTTCTCAGAATTTTGCACCATACAGGTCCAAAGTGAATACCCACTCAGTCTCCTGCCACCCTTCCCCTACCATCTTCCACCCAGTCCCCTGGGACAGCCTCTCTACTTTGCTTTACAAATTCCAGCCACTTCAGAAGTTTGGAGCTCCTTCCAGTTCTGTTTGGAACTGTTGCTCTGCTTCAGCAGTACTTGCCTTCTCCAAAGCAGGAAACGCTCCCAGGCAGAAGCCTGAAGTATTGCATGGCAAACACGTGTCTTTCCCCTCTGTTCTGTCTGTGGCTTTGTTGTCTCATATTTTGTCTAGTCTCATAGTTGTCTTCAGCAGGAGGGCAAGTCTGGTACCAGACACTTTGTTATGGCAAGTGGATATACAGGGCTTGTGTTTTTTCATACTGTCTGGTTCTCATTAACAGTGAAAGGATAATCACTATGGTAGTAGTGTTCCATTTTTCCTTTGGTGTTACCTGGACCCAGAGGGGTTAGACATCCTCTGTGTGTATTGTCTATTCAGTGACTACGTCATTATAGGAAACCTCTTTGAGATGCCAGGGGTTTAGAACTTCACTTGAAATGAAATTTGAAGGACATGTTATTCCCACCCACTTGAATGAAGAGAGTGAAATCCAGGACTGCGGTTGAAAAGCTGTGAAAGTCCTAATTCCATCTGTCAAACTCCACTGCTTTGATTAGATGGTTGTGTTAAATCCTCTTCTTTATAAATTGTCTTGTAATTCAAATATTTATCAACAAAATAACTGCTGAGGATGTATTTTTGTTTTTTACATTTTGATTGTTAGTTTGTAAAATAATTTACTATGTCAATAATTTTTCACTTCTTTAATACATCAATATCATTATCCTATCTGCTTTCTTTAGGTAGCTTGCAATATCTAAAGCCAAAATAAGAACTATTTTATTAGAAACATTCAGCTAAGGTTTTCCCGAAGTCTCAATATAACTTTGAGTATGTTTGCAGAAAAGTCAAAAATGCAGTAGTGTTTATGATATAAAATATTTATGCTGATTTTCTACCATTTTATAACTTTTCTTTTGAATTTATCTTTAAAGCCAAGTTTGGCCCTCTCGGGAGAAAATTGGCCTCATTTCTGACCCCAATTTATGGAATCTGGTGTAATCACCTACTTCATTCACAGCTTGACTGTGACTAATTTATTAAAAAACAGAAATGACCTTCAAAAGATGAGCTTTTCCGGTATGTATATTCCATATTCTCTGAAGGGAATTCCAAAAGCAGACTCTTTTAGAGCAGCAATGCTGCTATTAGGGTGAGCATGTAACTTTCCAAGAATATTGCTTTGAAGGGAACAACACTCATTCAGATGTTTATGTTCTGGAATGTTTGTTTCCATTCTAATCTTACCTACTATAGTTGCGTCTGCTGATTTCTTCTACTATGGTTTCCTTCTTACGGGCAGGATTTGCCTTAAACTTATTATAAGAAGTTAAAAATGATCACCTGTTTAATAATTGGAATTATTTGTTAGTGAATTCCTTCATTTATTTAACAAATGCTTTTGAGTCCCTGTGCTAAGTATTGGGAATACAGTAATGAACCCTCCCCCAGCCCACCCCCCCCAAAAAAACTCTCGTAGAGTTTGTAGCCTAAGTTTAGATCTTCTTAATCTAAAGTTTAATGAAAAATTAAACTTTACCTTTACTTAATCCATATTTAGAGCTTTTACACCTCTCAAAAGTCCTTTGTGTTTATTGGATGTGTATAATGTGCCTTGTAAAAGGAGGGAGAGATTCAAAAGATGAAGAAATTGTTTATAATCTGACTCAGTCCATGCACCTCTGTTATATATACAAAAAAAATTAAATTTTTATTGACACTTGAGATAGAAGGACACAATACTGAGGAAATGTAAAAACAACCATTATAAAGGAAGTTAAGTCACTTATTGTAGAGATTGTTTTGGGGGTGGTCCTTAAAAAACGTTCTGGAGCAGACGTGCTTTTCTCTGGATTGCACAGCAGAGTCAGGTAGCAAGAGGGGTGGAGAGCTGCCAGTTTTTCCTCATTTAAGTATGGAAGTCTAAAATGGTTAATATTTTGAATATATTTTATTTATGAACATTTGTTCAAGTCTATATTTTTTTCTCATAAACTCTAACTGCTAAAAAGCCCCTGAAATTTATCATTGTCAAAGTTGATAGATACTTACATGACTTGATGCCTTTCGCAATGATAAAATTGTTAGAGTGTCAAGGTAAGTCAAAGGTTAGATTTTTCTAATCTAATAAATCAAAAAAAAATCAAATCAGTCTTTGAGCAGGTCAGTTATTAAATTGAATTTCTTTTTCCTTACTAGGATCCTCGGTTCAATGCAGAAGTTGATCAAATTACGGGCTACAAGACACAAAGTATTCTTTGTATGCCAATTAAGAACCACAGGGAAGAGGTAAGCCAATTTTCCATTTTATAAAAGATCATTTGGAAATATTTTCCTTTTGAAATTTTTTTTTACTTTACACATATATGAAATATTGCTATAGTGACAAGTTAGCTGTAAAGTACTAAGTGCTTAAATATTCTGCTTGATATTTTTTATTTAGACTCTAGTTACAAGGTTGAATCCTGATAAAGAGTTTACTATGACCTTTGACTTAGAAATAAATTTTATACAAGTCGTTTCCTTCCTCCCCACTTCTCCGAAGCCATTTTCTATCTTAAGATATGTAATTATGGTTGTGATTGGAATCAGTTTATTTGATGTTATAGTTTAAGTGTATGAGTAATACTCATTTTATAAATGTCATACATTGCGATGGTCATCAGCCGATTTCTTTGGATTCAAATCGAGGTTTTGAAAAAATGGAAATTGTAGCTAATTCTAATTGTGTAAATTTTGATGTGAAATTATAACAAACAAATGAAAATATGTTGGTTTATATTTCACCTAACTAGAAGATTGGCTTCTGTTAGCACTGAGTTCCCTCTTCATTTTACACTTATTTCAAAAAAATAGTTAATAAATTATCAATTAAACTGAAAATTTCAGTTGAGCATTTTCAATCCTGACCTCACGTTACAACTAACTGGAAGATTCAAGAAGACTGCCAATTGCATTGGTTCAGGGTTCTCCGAGCACAGAATCCACAGGCTGTATGCAGATAAATCAGGGGGTTATCGTGGGAGTTGGCTCACGCAGGTATGGGGGCCAGCAAGTGCCGTGATGTGCCGCATTCAGGCTGGAGACCCAGGGCAGCCCGTGGTGTCAGTCAGCCTGAATCCTAGGGCGCCACTATGCAAGTCTCAGGGTCCACAGGCCTAAGGAACTGCAGTTCTGATGTCGAGTTCCCTCTTCCCTTTTCCGCTGCTTTTTTGTTGTACCCAGGCCCTCAACGGATTGGATGGTGCCACCCACGTTGGGGAGGGAGGATCCTTTTTACTGATTCAAATGCTACTGTCTTCTGGAAGCACCCTCAGAGACACACCCAGAAATAATGTTCTACCAGCTGTCTGAATATAGCGTTTTAAAATTCCCATGCCCAGGCTTCCCCTTTTTAATCAGAATCTCTGGGCCTGGGACGCCGGCGTCAGTATTTGCTAAAGGTCCCAAGTGATTACAATACGAGGCCAAGGTGGAGAACCACTGCCAGTCATGTTAGAGGTACTTGCTGCTTCTACCTGATTTATATTTAAATTTGGACATCTTTCCTTTCCCTCTATCCAGTCTGTTACCAAGTCCCATTGATTTTTTCCTTTAGAATGTTTTTCACTTCAATTCCTTTCTTTTCATTCCTGCTGCCTACACCACAATTCAGATCTTGAAGTAATGCCTAAGCTTTCTAAATGTTCTCCTAAGGGTTTCTATACTTGCAGTCAATTTCCCTTCAATCCATCCTGCATATCACTGCCCTGGGGGTTTTTCCTAAAACACAGCTTTCTAAATCAGTGCTTCTGAAACTTCATTGTGCATAGGAATCACCTGGAGATCTTGTTGAAATGCAGATTCTGAATTTAGGTCTAGGTGGAACCCGAGATCCTTATCTATCTAACAGGGACCAAGCTGACGATGCCCTCGGTCTGCAGATCACAGTTTGATTAACAAGGTCCTAAGTCGGTCACTCCTCAGTGGTCATTCCCAGCGCCTTAGACTTGCCACATGATTTCTTAAGATGGTAGTTCCAGCAGTAGTTACTAAAATACTTGCAGCTGTGACATGAGATTAATTAGTTTAATCACCTAAGTATGGGAATGAATAAATAAAATCGAAAAGGCCATATGTGGACTGATGACTGTAGTGTTACTAATAGGGTTGCCAGATATAGCAGATTAAAAAATGTCGCTCTTGTGATATTTCGGACATCATTATACTAAAAAATTGTTTGTTGTTTATCTGAACTGAAATTTGACTCACATTTTATGTGACAGGCCTAGTTATAAACCAAGGACTAAGATTATGATTCTACGCATTTGAGAAGACAATGTTCAGCTTTTAGTTAGTAAGTGTACATTAAAATCATGGCCTAAAAAACAGCTTTGTATTGGCAAAGGAATTCAGCCCAAATCATGCTCTGATTAAATTTCTCTTTCTAGATAGCCATCCACAATCTCTCCAGCAGTAGGGACTGGGGGAACCCAGGAGAAGGCAACAAAATCACTAGGAAGAAGTGAATTCGATCAATTTAAGGGGACAGTTTGATGAATTTTGACAAATATATATACAGTCATGTACCCACCACTGTAATCAAGATATAGAATGTTTCTGTCATCTCAGATATTCCCCTGCACCCCTTTACAGTTGATCTCTCCCTCCTCCCTCAACCTCTGGCCCCTGACAGTCACTGATGTGCTTTTTGTCACTGTTGTTTTGCTTTTTCTAAAATGTCATGCAAATGGAATTATACAGTGTGTGGTCTCTTGTGTCTAGCTTCTTTCACTTAGCACAATGCTTGTGAGATTTACCCCGTCCTTGCACGTACTGGTAGTTTGTTCCTTTTTATCGCTGAGTGATTTATTCTGTGGTATGGATACACTGCCATTTGTTTGTGCATTTACCAGTTGATAGACATTTGAGTTGCTTCCAGTTTATGTCTATTGTGAAAAAAGCTGTTGTCAGTGTTTGCATACAGGTCTTAGTGTGGCCCTATGTTTCCATATCTCTTGGGTAAATATATAGGAGAACGATTGCTAAATCATATGGTAGGTATATGTTTAATTTTATAAGAAACTTCCAAACTCTCTTTCAAGGTGGCTGTACCATATTTCATTCTTACCAGCAATGTACGAGAGTTCCGATTACTTCACATCCTTGGTAACACATAGCAATTCAGTCTTTTTATTCTAGTCATTCTAGTAGTAGGGGATGATTTAAATTTCATTACATGAATATATAACCCCACTCTCAACCAAAAGCCTGCTGTCTGCTTACAGATCTGATTTCAGCCACAGGTCCCCAGATGGTCTAGAGCTTTCCCTAAGATTTCTGCTGGGGCCCTGAGCTTCCTCGTGTCCCTCTCTCAGCTCCCATACCCTCTCCTGCTGGTCTCTGTTTTACCCTGTGATGACTTGATATGAACCTTGGTCTCTTCACTGGTTTCCAAAAAAGTTTACTCATACCCAGCATTTCATGAGATTAAAAAACCTTCCGTAGGCCGGGGACAGTGGCTCATGCCTGTAATCCTAGCACTCTGGGAGGCCAAGGTGGAAGGATCCCTTGACCTCAGGAGTGCGAGACCAACCTGAGCAAGAGCGAGACCAGTCTCTACCAAAAATAGACAAAATTAGCCAGGCATGGTGGTATGCATCTGTAGTCCCAGCTACTCAGGAGGCTGAGGCAGGGGGATCTCTTGAGCCTAGGAGTTTGAGGTTGCAGTGAGCTATGATGATGCCACTGCACTCTACCCTGTCTCAAACAAGAAAAACCAAACTCATTAACTTCACTGGAGACTTACTACTGGTTGAGTATCCCTAATCTGAACATCTAACATCCTAAATGCTCCAAAATCTGAAACTTTTTGAATTCCATGACACTCAAAGGAAATGCTCGTTGGAGCATTTCAGATTTCAGATTCTCCTATTAGGGATGCTCAACTAATATAATGCAAATATTCCAAAATCCAGAAAATTCTGAAATTTGAAACACTTCTGGTCCCAAGCATTTTGTGTAAGGGATATTCACCTGTAACTTTGCTCTAGAGAAGGTTTCCAAAACACAGCTTTTGAAACATCTTACCAACCCTCCCCACTCCCTGTCCTCTCCCCATCACTCCCTCTCCTCCCAGATTTGCACTGCCCAGTTCAAATATTAACTCTGAGAATTACTTTTTCAGAGAAAAGAATTAAGAGAAACAGTCAGAATAAACGTACTGTCAGTGTGGCTGCTGTAATATAAAAAAGTAATTTGGCTGACTCAGAACCAAGGCCACTAACAAGATGAAGTATTCGACTTCCAGAATTGTCTTCAAATATGTGTCTGTGTAAACAAAGTCAGGGAAGTGTTTGCTTTTGAGTACACGTATAACTTCTCTCTCTCTCTCTCTCACGAAATTTCTGAAATCGAGACAGAGAGTTGCAGTGAGGCTCTTGGGAGTAATTAGTAAGATTGCTTGCTCTGGGCTTGAACCCGTCATAACGACGTCCCTGCCCACTACCCAGGGTGGGACTGGTCAGTCCCTTTGAGCTCAGTTTCCTCATCTGCAAAGTGAGGTACAAAGAGGACCTGCCTCAAAGGGTTGTTGGGAAGATTAAATACATTCATGCATGAGAAAGGCTTAAACAGAGTTCCCGGCACACTAGAAATGTTCAATAAATGGCAGGTATTTGTTTTTAAAAGGAGACCCAGAACTAATAGACAAGAAATAAGAGAGACAAGAATAAAATAGCTGTGTGAAGATGCCATTAGCCACGTGATCAGCCAGCTGGGACCCGATGGTAACCGGCCCAGCCCTGACTCGTGGGTCTACTCATTACCTTCTAACAAACTTTGAGCTTTGAAAGAAATGTTCTTCACTGTTTTTCCTCATAAATGAGGCAAAATGAATTCCGTGTCTTCTCTTTGTTTATGTCCAGCTGTACTGAGTAAGCCAACACACATTCCAACTAATTACCAAGGAAACTGAAAAGAACTGTGATTATTGAATTACTCTTTATTGATTATTTACAAAGTGTCCTGGTATCTTTTGGTGACACTGGTTTTTAAAGACGTAGGTAGGTACCAACTCGAAAGCTGTCTGAATGAAGCAGTTGAATGTTGGTTACTAAAATGTGAACTACAACATAGGCTAGAAAATTCAGAAAGATTTTAAGATTCACTAAAATATCTAAGTTCATTTGCCTCCTCTTCTGATGAAATATTTCAGCTAATTAAAAAGTTCAGGAGTTCTTTTCATCCATGTTACAATCTTAAGTGTTATAGATAACAGCAGTGCTTTTTTAGAAGTAAGGATCATAGAT